TTTCCTTGTCAGTGGGCAAACGTACAAAATCAGCAGGGGATCAAATACTTTTTTCCCTCACTGTACGTCCATTCACAGACACATTGTCACCCACACCACGGCACAGACACCATAATCACACGCAAGAGAGACACACTCAACGTAGCTCACACCGTGCCATCAGCATACCCACACACCGACCACACTTCCACATATACTGTACCCCATCTCATACAGACGCTACACACGTAACGTTACACACAATAACACACACCACACATCGCAGAAGCCATCAAACACCCACGTCGCAGAGTCCATCACACACATTACATAACAGAACCCATCACACACACATTACAGACACCCCATCACCACGTACTCCCCAACACGCACACACATATCACAAAACACATCACTCACACACATCACACACAACACATCTCACACAACACATTACAGACACCCCATCACCACGTACTTCCCAACACGCACACACATCACACAACACATCACACACATCACACACACACACCACACACACATCACATACACATCACATACATCACACACACATCACACATACATGACACACACACATCACGCATACACATCACACACATCACACACACACATCACACATACATGACAGACACACATCACGCATACACATCACACACACACATCACACACACACATCACACGCACACACATCACACACATCACACACACCTCACACACACACCTCACACACACACATCACACACACACACATCACCCACACACACCAACCACATCACCCACACACATCACACACGCACACACATCACACGCACATCACACACACACACACCTCACACACACATCACGCATACACACATCACACACACATCACACACGCACATCACACACACACCACACACACATCACACACACACATCACACACACACACGCACATCACACACACATCACACACACACACATCACACACATCATACACACACATCACACACACACATCACATACACACACACATCACACACACCACACACACACACACATCACACACACCACACACATCACACACATCACACACACACACATCACACACACCACACACACACCACACACACACACATCACACACACATCACACACACACAACACACACACATCACACACACACACATCACACACACACATCACACACACACACCACACACACACATCACACACATCACACACACACACCACACACATCACACACACACATCACACACACACACCACACACACACATCACACACACACATCACACCACACATACACACATCACACACACCACACACACCTCACACACACATCACACACACACCACACACACACATCACACACATCACACACACCACACACATCACACACACACATCACACACACATACACACATCACACACACATCACACACATACATCACACACATACACACATCACACACACATCACACACATACATCACATACATACACACATCACACACACCACACACACACACCACACATACACACATCACACACACATCACACACATACATCACACACATACACACATCACACACACATCACACACACACACCACACATACACACATCACACACACCACACACACACACCTTCACGGGCCGGTGAAATTCACTGCCGTCTGCTCCAAACAGCAACGTCCCGGACACAGGACGACAATGACGACCGCTGCTATTGACCGATGACGATGTTGACGATGTTGACGCTCCTGCTGCTGATGATGTTGATGTTGTTGTTGGGTGATGATGAGAAGACACTGTGGGGGGGGGGGGGGGGGTTCGGGGTGACGCTTCCGAGGCCGCGGCGAGCTGCAGGGTCACGGTTCGCCTCCCGTGTCTGCGGTGACGATGCTCGCGTTGGGGGGCGGGAGCTGAGATAAGTGGGCGGGGCATTGTGGCGAAGTAGGCGGGGTCGTGGGGCCCGAGTGGGCGGGGGCAGGGGCTTGATGGGCGAGGTCGTGGGGCAGGGGTTTAGTGGGCGGGGTCGTGAGACGGAGTGGGCGGGGCCAGGGAGCGTAGTGGGCGGGATCATTGGTATTTTCGCTCCTGAATGGATCGAGAATCGACACGATTTCATTGCACGATTTGATTCCGCGCTTTATAATTCTTTATTGATATTGCTGTACAAATACAATGAACCATCCACCACCCCCCCTACAAACTATGTTTATTTTTTTTTTACCATACTTCACCGCGCTGGTCAGTGCAGATAGGCGGGGGCAAGACCGGTCCATGAGGTCGCTCGCAACAGATTCTAGGCGCCGATGAGAATCGAACTGAGCTCGCCCGAGAATGCACAGCGCATTGCGCTAACCACTCTGCGTTTTGCATCAATCGTGGCGCTGCACACAGCCTTACGATATTGACGTGTAGAAATCGGTGAGAATCGACTCTACGCTATTTGACACGTTAATTCTCGGAATCGATTTAATCGAACTTTCGAATCGAGTGTCGGTGCTTTCGGGGTGGAGTCAATGGGGAGGCGGCGCGTGCTTTCATTTTCCGTTCCGCCCATTCCCCCTCCCCTCTCTTCTCCGTACGCGATGACGTCACACCGAATAACGTGATGACGTCTAACACAAACATCATCAGCCGACTCCACTGCTGAATGAAGGCCTCACTAAGGGGCCGTCCATAAATGACGTCACGCGATTTTGGACGATTTTGACCCCCCCCCCCCCCCGTCGTCACGACGTCACAAAAAGTAAAACCCCCTTCAAATATGACGTCACAAAGCTCTGCCCCCCCGCCTCCAAAACCATATTTCCATTTTGAAAATAAAACATGCTTCAAATCGCTTTAAACTATTGTCATTGTAGTGCGTATTTAATGTGGCGCTGCACTCTGATGTTGTAGGAGAAAACATTTATCAAAAAGTCTATGTAATTAAGTAGAACGTGTTGTCTATTTTTATTTAAAATTGCGCATTTTGATGTGACGTCACATTTCTCAAACCCCCACCCCCCGCGTCACATATCGTCACAAATGTCTGACCCCCCTCCCCCCCCTCTAGGTGCGTGACGTCATTTATGGACGGCCCCTAAGCCACCGGCCACCTCTGCGATCCAAGAATCCATCTCCTCCACTCTCATCGGTGGACATCCCATGTCTGACAAAATGCAAAAATGTTCGGCTCACAATGAATGGTATCGTTGAAAACGACACAGGAACGCTGCACAAAATTATTGCGAAAAGTTTGACATTGTCATCTGGGACGAAACCGATGACGTCGTGAGCACAGTAATGTCAACAACGGTGTGGCGTAAGCTTGAACCCGCGAAACTACGTAATGACGTCACGGCGCGGCGAAATTGGTAACGCGGTGACGTCATACGCGAGTTACCACCGCTGTGGTGTTCCATCTGACAACGTAGTCCGGATTATAAGACGCACCGGAAAGGAAGACTCACACACTGGATTATAAGACGCACGGGAAAGTAAGACACACACTGGATTATAAGACGCACCGGTAAGTAACTCACACACTGGATTATAAGACGCACCGGAAAGTAAGACTCACACACTGGATTATAAGACGCACCGGAAAGTAAGACTCACACACTGGATTATAAGACGCACGGGAAAGTAGACTCATACACTGGATTATAAGACGCACCGGAAAGTAAGACACACACTGGATTATAAGACGCACAGGAAAGTAGACTCATACACTGGATTATAAGACGCACCGGAAAGGAAGACTCACACACTGGATTATAAGACACACCGGAAAGTAAGACACACACTGGATTATAAGACGCACCGGAAAGTAAGACTCACACACTGGATTATAAGACGCACCGGTAAGTAAGACACACACTGGATTATAAGACGCACGGAAAAGTAAGACTCACACACTGGATTATAAGACGCACGGGAAAGTAAGACTCACACACTGGATTATAAGACTCACCGGAAAGTAAGACTCGCACACTGCATTATAAGACGCACCGGAAAGTAAGACTCACACACGCACGGGAAAGTAGACTCATACACTGGATTATAAGACGCACCGGAAAGTAAGACACACACTGGATTATAAGACGCACAGGAAAGTAGACTCATACACTGGATTATAAGACGCACCGGAAAGGAAGACTCACACACTGGATTATAAGACGCACCGGAAAGTAAGACACACACTGGATTATAAGACGCACCGGAAAGTAAGACTCACACACTGGATTATAAGACGCACCGGTAAGTAAGACACACACTGGATTATAAGACGCACGGAAAAGTAAGACTCACACACTGGATTATAAGACGCACGGGAAAGTAAGACTCACACACTGGATTATAAGACTCACCGTAAAGTAAGACTCACACACTGCATTATAAGACGCACCGGGAAGTAAGACACCCACACTGCATTATAAGACGCACCGGAAAGTAAGACACACACTGGATTATAAGGCGCACGGGAAAGTAAGACTCACACACTGGATTATAAGACGCACCGGAAAGTAAGACTCACACACTGCATTATAAGACGCACTGGAAAGTAAGACTCACACACTGGATTATAAGACGCACTGGAAAGTAAGACGCACACACTGGATTATAAGACGCACGGGAAAGTAAGACTCACACACTGGATTATAAGACGCACGGGAAAGTAAGATTCACACACTGGATTATAAGACGCACGGGAAAGTAGACTCATACACTGGATTATAAGACGCACCGGAAAGGAAGACTCACACACTGGATTATAAGACGCACCGGAAAGTAAGACTCACACTGGATTATAAGACGCACCGGAAAGTAAGACTCACACACTGGATTATAAGACGCACCGGAAAGTAAGACTCACACACTGGATTATAAGACGCACCGGAAAGTAAGACTCACACACTGGATTATTAGATTCATTACCCAACAATTGGTGATATCCATTTAATCAATACGCTCCACAAGGGCATTTTAATGTGGTGGTTTTGACCTCACCTTACAATCAGCCGCTGCTCACGGTCCACCCTGAATCGCATCCGCTGAGACAAACCGTGCACGGATGCGGATACCTGATGCACAAATGGAACATTAACAACAAAAAACTTCTCCCCTGTCGTCATCCAGAGCAGACCGTACAACGTGGAGCGATGACGCAATCGCCCGATCCACAAACGCAAAGGAGGCGTCGCGGACGTCTGTAGCCGTTGCTCTGCATCTACATCATCGGCCGTACGAAAGAAGAGGAAAAAGGAGGAGCAGCTTCCTGTCGCTGTCTCCTGCCCCTCTCTCGGTTTGGCCTTGCGACCAGGGTCCAGTAGCTATTTGCTGTCTTTCTCCATGGCTATGTTGAAGCGATCATCGGCTGCCTTGCCCACAGCTGTCGCCCCATACGGTTTACCCCCTATTCTTGTACAGGGAAATTGAGTTGTTCAGGTCCACACGGCGTACAGCCGTTTCAATACGGGCAACATTTGTTTTGGTATGTTTTGTTTGTGTTTCTCCCTTGTGGTGGGACTTCGTGGGATGAACGTTGAGATTACTAAGAGCGCGGGGTGACCAATAAGGTCTGAAGTGGTCTGTAATAAGGTAGGAGGCACTGATAAGGGGTTGACAGGTATGCCTTGCCTGTCATCACTGCCAAGTAAACATTGAACGTGGGCCCAACGTTGGCATGCTCACTGGGCAAAAGTGTTGTCACTGAGTCAAGAGAGAGAGAGATTTGGGATGTAAGAAAGTTCGCACGCTGTGAAATTTGATGCCGATGCAAGCGGGCGAGTCAGTGCGCTAACGGAGCCTCCTGCTCCACTTGCTCCTCCTGCTCCCCTTGCTCCACTTGCTCCTCCTGCTCCTCTTGCCCCTCCTGCTCCTCCTGCTCCTCCTGCTCCACTTGCCCCTCCTGCTCCTCCTGCTCCTCCTGCTCCTCCTGCTGCACTTGCTTCCCCTGCTCCACTTGCTCCTCCTGCTCCTCCTGCTCCTCCTGCTCCTCTTGCTCCTCCTGCTCCTCTTGCTCCTCCTGCTCCACTTGCTCCTCCTGCTCCACTTGCTCCTCCTGCTCCTCCTGCTCCTCCTGCTCCTCTTGCTCCTCCTGCTCCTCCTGCTCCTTTTGCTCCCCCTGCTGCTCCCGCCGCACCTCTCGCGATGGAAAACAAAAAAATATCGCACTCCAACACCCGCGCGTCCTAACTCCAGCGCCCCAACTCCAGCGCGTTCCAACTCCAGCTCGTTCTAACTCCCGGCCGCTCTAACTCCCGTTAGCACCAACACCCTCCACGCGCCCCAACTCCAGCGCGTTCCAACTCCTGCTCGTTCTAACTCCAGCGGGCTCCAACTCCCGGCCGCTTTAACTCCCGTTAGCACCAACACCCGCGCGCTCCAACACCCGCGAGCACTAACTCCTCGCACGTCATAACCCCCCCCCCCCCCCAGCGCACTCCAACACCAGCACGCTCAGTCACATTAAGATGTTTTTATTGTTCGTGTTTTTGTTTTTTTGTTTGTTGTGGTTGCACCCGATTCAAAAGCCGAATGGCTCACAGGGCTATACCAAAATAAAGAAACTAAAAAAAGACTAAACTAAAAAATTGCCGAGCTCCTCAGCACTCCGCGTGCACCACCTCCGTGGTGGACTAACTCTGGGGGCGCGGTGCTCCTCCGGTTGTCACTTTTTGTTTCGTTCGTGCCGACCACCGGCGCTACCACCACCGCCACCACCAGCACCACCGACTTTTCTCAACGTTATCACCGCTCCAGCGTGCTTTAATGCTTTACCCTGATCAATCAATGCAACCGCATTGATTATTTTATTTGACCAGCTGAGCAATATATGTCGTGTTGTTTCTCCTCAGAAACGACCTGGTCATCAATGATTAGTTCAACGAAGTGGCTTATCGTGTGGCAAATGCATCTAAACGGAATCAGAACGTTTATTTATACTGGAGGAATCCGAGAAGCTATAAAGCGATTTTTTTTTTCACACACGTCCAGCAAACGCACGTTTCCAAATGTGGAAGGAAAAAAACCGGATGACCCGGGGGAAAATCCATGCCAATATAGAAGAGACATCGTCAGGGTCGAAATATCAATCAAGTTGTGAACACGCTACAACACGCCTGATGGTTGATCAACGATAACCAGCTTCAATATATGCATCGGATCGACGCGTGGGCCCTACTGCAGTACTGGAACGCAGTAGTTGGAATATGTTTGAGATTATATTCTATGGTTCTTACGGTAAATTCACGTAGATAGAAAAAATAAGAAACTTTTATCACTTTATTGTTATTTTTTCTATCTACGTGACTTTACCGAAAGAACCATAGAATATGAATTCCTGTAGTCACGACAGTTTTAAGGGGCCGTCCATAAATGACGTCACGCACCTAGGGGGGGTGGGTCAGACATTTGTGACGATGTGTGACGAGGGGGGGGGGGTAAAAAATCATCCAAAATTGCGTGACGTCATTTATGGACGGCCCCTAAGTCAAAATGATTGATATTATTATATATAAAAAAATATATATTTTGTTAACATATAGACCGTGTAGTGCACAAATCACGGCCTTCCAGCAGATGGCAGGAGACGACCACCCACCGACAACGAACACTACAATCCGAGCCGACTCACTGAACCCCCCCATCCCCTCCCCCACCCCCCTGCCCCTCCCCCTCCCCCACCCCCCCCCCTTCCTACACCACCCCGCCGAGCTGTCAGCCCGCTTTGTAGGTTATAAACCACGTAAATGTAGGTCAGCCAAACCCGGTGGGTGGCTGGGGGCAGAAAGTGTTGGGAAGTGGAGGAGGGGGGGGGGTGAGCGAATGGGGCAGCGCTGCCAGATCAAAGGGGTTTAACCTTCAGATTTAGGAAACGCACGTGCATTACAGATACAAAGATCCCCCGTATAGTCTTAGCAGATGGTTGGGGCAAGTGCTGTTAGCGAACACATATGAAGGCCGGCAGGGCACACGAAGGGGTGGGGTGGCCAACAGCACACCCGGCCGCCTTTGTCTCGCCAATGGCGATTATTTGACACATCGCGCGAGGTAGGGCAATTGAGGCTGAGTCGACCTAGGGGAGGAGGCCCAGGACCGGCCTCGAGACGAAATCAAACTCGGGTCGCGCGAACCGCGCACATCACCACGCGTGATCTATCCACTGCTGGATGAAGAAGCCTCCCCCCTCTCTCGCGACGCCACCGCCGTCTATATCCGAGCTCCTGCACACACGAGCTGACTTCCAACTCCGTCTCCACGGCGTGGACGACTAAGGCCGTGTTGGTGATGGTGGTAGGGGCGTGGGGGGCTGAGATGTCCGGGGGGTGAAGGGGGGGGGGTGCCCAAACGGCCCCCTTGGCTACGGAATCGACGCTCGAGCGCTGTGGCAGCAGCACACGTGCGTGCGTGCGTGCGCGGCTGGGGCTGGCGTCACTCATACATCGTTGCCCGCTCATTTCTTCCCACTCGTCTGCGTCTCCCCCCCCTCCCCACACTGTGCAAAACGCGAACATCATTGGCGTCTCTCTCCAACGGCGGCAAACTGTGTATGGCTCGGCCGATACATCGTGGAGCGAGCCGCTTCAGCGCAATGTTCGCCAGCGGCGATTGAGCAGAGAGGTGACGCTCAGCGTTACGCGAGCGCTGAGTAAGTTCCCAACCCCCCCCCCCCCCCCCCCCCCCCCCCCCCCCAAGTAGCTCAAGGGGCACCGTAGTCACGAAACAAACGATGGTTGTGAGCCAAACATCGCACCGAATTCAAATGATAACGAAGAACGCGAAAGAGCAAGTGCACCCACCCGTCCCGTTTCTTCTTTCATCGAGACTACATCGTGGTCTTGCCTCTAGAGTCTATACCATCCGCATATCGCTTATTTCATCTCGTTACATCTCTCTCTCTCTCTCTTGCCTACATCTATCTCATTTCGTCACCCACCGTTAGCACGGTTGGCGACGGACGGTGCGAAAGAAGTTCAACAAACATACACGTCACTACATCTCGTACCATCTGAATCTCTCCTCGCTCATCTCGTCACAACTTTCTCTCTCTCGACTACATCTCTCATCTCACTCTATCGCTGTCTCATCTGAATATCTCATCTCGCTACATCTCTCTCTATATATATCTCTTGTTTCTCTGTCTTCTGTTATCCTACTGGGCATCTACACAACGAAAGGGGGAGCCCTCCCTCGCCACGGTAATTTCTATCTTAGAGCCCCCATTGGGACAGCACCACCACCACCACTCTCCGTGGTGGCCTCCACGTGGCAACACATCCAGACACCCCGGGAGGAAATCAACAGCAGCAGACACAGCAACAGCAGACAGCAGCAGCAGACACAGCAACAGCAGTAGATACAGCAGCAGCAGACATAGCAACAGCAGACAGCAACAGCAGCAGCAGACACATCAACAGCAGACACAGCAGCAGCAGACATAGTAACAGCAGCAGACACAGCAGCAGCAGACAGCAGCAGCAGCAGCAGCAACAGCAGACATAGCAACAGCAGACACAGCAACAGCAGACACAGCAGCAGCAGACACAGCAACAGCAGACACAGCAACAGCAGACACAGCAGCAGCAGACACAGCAGCAGCAGCAGACACAGCAACAGCAGCAGACACAGCAACAGCAGACACAGCAGCAGCAGCAGACACAGCAACAGCAGCAGACACAGCAACAGCAGACACAGCAACAGCAGCAGACACAGCAGCAGCAGACACAGCAACAGCAGACACAGCAACAGCAGACACAGCAGCAGCAGACAGCAACAGCAGACATAGCAACAGCAGACACAGCAGCAGCAGACACAGCAGCAGCAGACATAGCAACAGCAGACAGCATCAGCAGCAGCAGACATAGCAGCAGCAGACACAGCAACAGCAGACATAGCAGTAGCAGACATAGCAACAGCAGACACAGCAACAGCAGACACAGCAGCAGCAGACACAGCAACAGCAGCAGACACAGCAGCAGCAGACACAGCAACAGCAGACATAGCAACAGCAGACATAGCAACAGCAGCAGACACAGCAGCAGCAGACAGCAGCAGCAGACACAGCAGCAGCAGACAGCAGCAGCAGCAAACGCAGCAACAGAAACAGCAACAGCAGACACAGCAGCAGCAGACAGCAACAGCAGACACAGCAGCAGCAGACAGCAGCAGCAGCAAACGCAGCAACAGAAACAGCAACAGCAGACACAGCAGCAGCAGACACAGCAACAGCAGACATAGCAGCAGCAGACACAGCAGCAGACACAGCAACAGCAGACAAAGCAGCAGCAGACATAGCAACAGCAGCAGACACAGCAGCAGCAGACACAGCAGCAGCAGACATAGCAACAGCAGCAGACATAGCAGCAGCAGGCACCGCAGCAGCAGACAGCAGCAGCAGCAAACGCAGCAACAGAAACAGCAACAGCAGACACAGCAGCAG